GGTCAGTTACGGAAAAAGTGAAAACGTTACTATTGAATAAGACAGTTACGGAATCTGTGAAAACTTTACTATTGAGTAAGACAGTTACGGATATAGTGAAACGTTACTATTGAGTAAGACAGTTACGGAAACAGTGAACACGTTACTATTGAGTAAGACAGTTACGGAAACAGTGAAACGCTACAATTGAGTAAGATAGTTACGGAAACAGTGAAAACGTTACTATTGAATAAGATAGTGACGGAAACAGTGAAACATTACTATTGAGTAGGACAGTTACGGAAACAGTGAAACGTTACTATTGAGGAAGACAGTTAAGGAAACAGTGAAAACGTTACTATTGAGTAGGACAGTTACGGAAACAGTGGAACGTTACTATTGAATAAGACAGTTACGGAATTAGTGAAAACGTTACTATTGAGTAAGACAGTTACGGAAACAGTGAAACGTTACTATTGAGTAAGATAGTTACGGAAACAGTGACTCATTACTATTGAGTAGGACAGTTACGGAAACAGTGAAAACGTTACTATTGAGTAAGACAGTTACGGAAAAAGTACTATACCATTGAAAAAGACATGGAAACTAGTTATTTCCTGACTTTTGAGGAAGACACTAACAGAAAACAATGATTAATATTGAGGAAGACATTGACTAGATATTATTGTAACATTACTATTTAGACAGTATAGGATATAACTGTTTTGATACTACTGATGACAATTTCCACAAAAATAATTATAACGTTACTAGAAAGGAATGAGGTTATATCAGAATTGGTGATAATGATAATGCTACTATTAGTGAAAGAAACTTCCACTATTGACGACGTGCGTCACATAAAAGGTATACCTGCGGCCTGTTTGTTTATGCGGAACAACCAGTTTGTCCGTTTTTAAATGTAACATTTTCGGGTATAAATCCTGGTGGATCTGCAAATGTTTACACAGGCCTTGCAAGGGTTTGTCAATGCTTGCCTGAAAGCAGCATCAGATTAACAGGTCCGACATTATTTAATTAACGAACAACTATGGTCCGACCGGTTCAGCCTTTTAAACGAAAACGGTCCTGTACTCTAGAGAATGACACAGAAGCCCTTAAAATCATATTGTATGTATTCGCTGTGATAATCTTGTTACTCTTGTTTATCTATTTGTTATTTTTATGCACTTACTGAATGCTCAATAATATAATGTATGGTAAACATCCTCCTTTGGTACCTTGGTGTGGGAACTCTATAAATATACATTGCGATGTTGTGCCTTGTTAGATATTTATGTTTAAACGTCTCTGGATGATAAGGTATAGGTTTAATGATTAATATGTATTAAAGAAACAGTCTTCTGGTACTAGTGTTATGACGCTGTGATGCATATACATTATCTGTATAATTGATTGTAGTTCCATTTGTCACAAAACATAAAAAATGCATTGAAACTTTTACGACATAGATCTACCTGACTGATAAATGATGGAAAGAGAAGTCATACGATATATGCACGAGAAGGCAGCATTCCCTAAGATAGTCTAAAATCACCCTGCTAAAATGTACCAATTTAATACAACAGTTATGGAAACGGGCGTGCAGTTTTGTTACTACCCAGGTACAATCATTCCCTTCGGAACATAACAAACGCCACCTAATGTGATTTACCGCATTCAAAAAACCTTTCTATCGTTGAATCGCAACATACTAGAATACTGTTTGGTTGTTTGATTTCTTTACACATATAAATGCCTAAAATTATGGTGTGAAACCATGTAATATAAAGTACAATTAATATTATAAATGAAAGGACTACAAATTGAAAATACTATATTTGTAAGATAACAACATTATTGGAGGTATTTGTTGACCTGCCCGATCAAATCGTGGCCAGTATTGTGATGCTTAAAATTCCTCTCTTTTTACGTCAGACATTCTTTTTCAGGGGTCACCTGACAACCTCCTTAGATATACACCTGGACAATCTGACGTTTCCTGTCTTCCGGTTTTGTAATCTTAACCCGTCCCCATATTCCGCCGTGAAAAACGATACAAGCCTTATGGCTATTTTGTATGCCACACAGCAAACCCTCGGAGTGAACCTAATGGAGTTCGACAAGGCTGGGGAAACTACTGTTGTTCGTATCAATCAATTAATCAATTAAAACATAAAGAATCACATTTGCTAACCATATTGTATATACTTATATTTGTACTTCTTCTTAAACTTACAATTACTATGCATATTGTATATAATTATTTCTGAATTGGTTCGAGTGGCTGTCTCATGCATCTGTGTCATAACAAAACATGCTGGTAGCATAGAGACATGACACAAACGTCACATATAGATAACGTATTAGGATAAGACACAAAAGTCATATTTGACTGACGTCATCAAGCTAGATTAGATTATTTAAATTATTCTGAACAACATAAAACTTATGTAACAAGAGCAACAATAACATGGTTTTCTCTATAACGTTTTTATTCCAACAACTTTCCAATATAGCTCTCACGTATGGATATAATGTATTAAAACAAACGTCTATTTATATTCCATAATAAACGACACAGGTGTTACAAATAACTTAATTTTCTGTATAACGTACAACGACAAAATGCATTGCTGTATTTTTTACTTTATGTATGGACATTCTTCTATAATTATTTTATACGAGGATATCATTTTATGGATTTCAATTTCATTTGACACTTTACTGATCACATATCAATAAGACGTCGGAAAAGTCATCATGTTTGTTCTTGATTACAGATAACAGATGAAGTAAAGAATGCATCAGCGTCATACAAAGTTCGTAAGTCTCGCAGTTGTCATGACTACCAAAGTACGTTGTTTGTCACTAGTTATTGTGTAGATTCATACTGTCATCTTGTCACTTTGGTTTGGGTAGTTGTCTTTTCTTATTGAATATCATATTCGATTTTATCGGTACTTGTGACATGCTAGCGTTGTGCGTTGACATGATGGTACCGGTGACATCCTAACGTTGTCCGTTGATATGATGGTACCGCTTACATGCTAGCGTTGTGCGTTGACATGATGGTGCCGGTGACATACTAACGTTGTCCGTTGATATGATGGTACCGCTGACATGCTAGCGTTGTGCGTTGACATGGTGGTACCTGTGACATGCTAGCGTTGTGCGTTGACATGATGGAACCGGTGACATGCTAGCGTTGTGCGTTGACAGGATGGTACCGTGACATGCTAACGTTGTGCGTTGACATGATGGTACCGGTGACCTGCTAGCGTTGTGCGTTGACATGATGGTACCTGTGACATGCTAGCTTTGTGCGTTGACATGATGGTACCGGTGACATGTTAGCATTGTGCGTTGACATGATGGTACCGGTGACATGCTAACGTTGTCCGTTGATATGATGGTACCGCTTACATGCTAGCGTTGTGCGTTGACATGATGGTACCGCTGACAAGCTAACGTTGTGCGTTGACATGATGGTACCGGTGACATCCTAACGTTGTCCGTTGATATGATGGTACCGCTTACATGCTAGCGTTGTGCGTTGACATGATGGTCCCGGTGACATGCTAGCATTGTGCGTTGACATGGCGGTACCGGTGACATGCTAACGTTGTGCGTTGACATGGTGGTACCGGTGACATGCTCGCGTTGTGCGTTGACATGATGGTACCGGTGGCATGCTCGCGTTGTGCGTTGACATGATGGTACCGGTGACATAGTAACGTTGTCCGTTGATATGATGGTACCGCTGACATGCTAGCGTTGTGCGTTGACATGGTGGTACCTGTGACATGCTAGCGTTGTGCGTTGACATGATAGTACCTGTGACATGCTAGCGTTGTGCGTTGACATGATGGTCCCGGTGACATGCTAGCATTGTGCGTTGACATGATGGTACCGGTGTCATGCTAGCGTTGTGCGTTGACATGATGGTACAGGTGACATGCTAGCGTTGTGCGTTGACATGATAGTACCTGTGACATGCTAGCGTTGTGCGTTGACATGATGGAACCGGTGACATGCTAGCGTTGTGCGTTGACAGGATGGTACCGTGACATGCTAACGTTGTGCGTTGACATGATGGTACCATGCTAACGTTGTGCGTTGACATGGTGGTACCGGTGACATGATAGCGTTGTGCGTTGACATGATGGTACCGGTGATATACTAACGTTGTCCGTTGATATGATGGTACCGCTGACATGCTAGCGTTGTGCGTTGACATGGTGGTACCGGTGACCTGCTAACGTTGTGCGTTGACATGATGGTACCATGCTAACGTTGTGCGTTGACATGGTGGTACCGGTGACATGATAGCGTTGTGCGTTGACATGATGGTACCGGTGATATACTAACGTTGTCCGTTGATATGATGGTACCGCTGACATGCTAGCGTTGTGCGTTGACATGATGGTACCGGTGACATACTAACGTTGTCCGTTGATATGATGGTACCGCTGACATGCTAGCGTTGTGCGTTGACATGATGGTACCCGTGACATGCTAGCTTTGTGCGTTGACATGATGGTATCGGTGACATGCTCGCATTGTGCGTTGACATGATGGTACCTGTAACATGCGAGCGTTGTGCGTTGACATGATGGGACCGGTTACATGCTAACGTTGTGCGTTGACATCATGGTCCCGGTGACATGCTAGCGTTGTGCGTCGACATGGTGGTACCGTTGACATGTTAGCGTTGTGCGTTGACATGATGGTAACGGTGTCATGCTAGCGTTGTGCGTTGACATGGTGGTACCAGTGACATGCTAGCATTGTGCGTTGACATGATGGTACCCGTGACATGCTAGCTTTGTGCGTTAACATGATGGTACCGGCGACATGCTAGCGTTGTGCGTTGATATGATGGTACCGGTGACATGCTAGGGCTGTGCGTTGACATGATGGTACCGTGACATGCTAACGTTGTGCGTTTACATGATGGTACCGGTGACATGCTGGCGTTGTGCGTTGACATGATGGTTCCGGTGACATGCTAGCGTTGTGCGTTTACATGATGGTACCGGTGACATGCTGGCGTTGTGCGTTGACATGATGGTGCCGGTGACATGCTAGCGTTGTGCGTCGACATGGTGGTACCGTTGACATGCTAGCGTTGTACGTTGACATGATGGTACCGGTGACATTCTAGCGTTGCGCGTTGACATGATGGTACCGGTGTCATGCTAGCGTTGTGCGTTGACAGGATGGATCACCTAAACATTGTTGTCTTAGTATAAGTAATTTTGGTAAATTATAATTATATAGTACCTGTGACATGCTAGCGTTGTTCGTTGACATGATGGTACCGGTGAAATGCTAGCGTTGTGCGTTGACATGATGGAACCGGTGACATGCTAGCGCTGTGTGTTGACATGATGGTACCGGGGACATACTAACGTTGTCCGTTGATATGATGGTACGGCTGACATGCTAGCGTTGTGCGTTGCCATGATGGTACCGGTGACATGCTGGCGTTGTGCGTTGACATGATGGTGCCGGTGACATACTAACGTTGTCCGTTTATATGATGGTACCGCTGACATGCTAGAGTTTTGCGTTGACATGATGGTACCTGTAACATGCGAGCGTTGTGCGTTGACATGATGGTCCCGGTGTCATGCTAGCGTTGTGCGTTGACAGGATGGATCACCTAAACATTGTTGTCTTAGTATAAGTAATTTTGGTAAATTATAATTATATAGTACCTGTGACATGCTAGCGTTGTGTGTTGACAGTATGGATCACCTAAACATGACATGCTAACGTTGTGCGTTGACATGATGGTGCCGGTGACATACTAACGTTGTCCGTTTATATGATGGTACCGCTGACATGCTAGCGTTGTGCGTTGCCATGATGGTACCGGTGACATGCTATCTTTGTGCGTTGACATGATGGTACCCGTGACATGCTAGCTTTGTGCGTTGACATGATGGTATCGGTGACATGCTAGCGTTGTGCGTCGACATGATGGTACCGGTGACATGGTAGCGTTGTGCGTTGACATGATGGAACCGGTGACATGCTAGCGTTGTGAGTTGACATGATGGTACCGGTGACACGCTAGCGCTGTGCGTTGACATGATGGGACCGGTTACATGCTAACGTTGTGCGTTGACATGATGGTATCGGTGACATGCTCGCATTGTGCGTTGACATGATGGTACCTGTAACATGCGAGCGTTGTGCGTTGACATGATGGAACCGGTGACATTCTAGCGTTGTGCGTTGACATGATAGTACCTGTGACATGCTAGCGTTGTTCGTTGACATGATGGTACCGGTGACATCCTAACGTTGTCCGTTGATATGATGGTACAGCTGACATGCTAGCGTTGTGCGTTGCCATGATGGTACCGGTGACATGCTTGCGTTGTGCGTTGACATGGTGGTACCTGTGACATGCTAGCATTGTGCGTTGACATGATGGTACCTGTAACATGCGAGCGTTGTGCGTTGACATGATGGTCCCGGTGTCATGCTAGCGTTGTGCGTTGACATGATGGTCCCGGTGACATGCTCGCGTTGTGCGTTGCCATGATGGTACCGGTGACATGCTATCTTTGTGCGTTGACATGATGGTACCGGTGACATGCTAGCGTTGTGCGTTGACAGTATGGATCACCTAAACATTGTTGTCTTAGTATAAGTAATTTTGGTAAATTATAATTATGATATATTTTATAACTAAAAGTGTTATTGTATGATACACGTAAGTTATTTAGAATATGAACTATACATTTTTGCAATATTTAAGGTGTTTTTTTGTACAGATTTTATTTCAACTACAAATGTTAGCAAGTACTACAATATATTGTTAGTGATAATAAGGTTCATGTTCATTTCCACTCGACACGCTGGGTAGTTCCTATGTAGTCTCTTTGTACACCAAGTAACGTTCCGTTAACTTCGTTGTGTATGTAACTATAACAAGACTAGTCTAGTTTTGTATTTAAGTATAACGGGACATGTCCAATTTTGTATGTAACTATAACGGGACTAGTCCAGTTTTGAATGTAACTATAACGGGACTAGTCTAGTTTTGTATATAACTATAACGGGACTAGTCCAGTTTTGTATGTAACTATAACGGGACTAGTCCAGTTTTGTATAAAACTATAACAAGACTAACAAATTTTGTATGTAACTATAACGGAAAGAGTCCAGTTTTGTATGTAACTATAACAAGATTAGTCTAGTTTTTTTTATGTAACTATAACAAGACTAGTCCATTTTTGTATGTAAATATAACGAGACTAGTCCAGTTGTGCATATAACTATGACATGCCTAGTCCAGTTTTGTATGTAACTATAACGGGACTTGTCAAGTTTTGTATGTAACTATAACAAGACTATTCCTGTTTTGTATGTAACTATAACGGGCCTAGTCCAGTTTTATATGTAACTATAACAAGACTATTCCAGTTTTGTATGCAACTATAACGGGCCTAGTCCAGTTTTGTGTATAACTATAACAAGACAAGTCCAGTTTTGTATGTAACTATGACGAGAATAGTCAAGTTTTGTCTGTAACTATAACAAGACTAGTCCAGTTTTGTATGTAACTATAACAAGACAAATCCAGTTTGTATATAACTATAACGGGCCTAGTCCAATTTTGTATGTAACTATAACGGGCCTAGTCCAGTTTTGTATGTAACTATAACGGGACTAGTCCAATTTTGTGTATAACTATAACGGGACTAGTCCAGTTTTGTGTATAACTATAACGGGCCTAGTCCAATTTTGTATGTAACTATAACGGGCCTAGTCCAGTTTTGTATGTAACTATAACGGGACTAGTCCAATTTTGTGTATAACTATAACGGGACTAGTCCAGTTTTGTATGTAACTATAACGGGACTAGTCCAGATTTGTATGTAGCTATAACGGGACTAGTCTAGTTTTGTTGACCAAATAGTTCGGTTGGTTAGAGCGATATTTTAAATAATATTGTCTGTCTCGAATTAGGCGTCATGAGTTCGAATCCCGATTTGATTTTGTTATGTTTTCTTTGTTATCAATTTGTGTTGGGAAATAACTAAAATGTTGTAATTTTTGCTGCAATGTTGAAATTTATTATGACTAATGAAACAAAAAGGACCTTAAAAAGTTCAGGTTTATCTTCTCCAAATTCATTTGTTTCGGCAAAACCTTTTCAACATGTCTTTATGAGTTTTCAGGTAATCTGAGAGAAGCTAGGGATTTGTTTCTACGGACACTGAGTAACGTGAGATCAGAATACAACAGCCTTCATCCTGACAAGGATAACAACCCCTACACCTACAGCATCAACGATGTCGTTCTCCGGTGTACATTCCAGGGCTCTGACTGTGGTGACAACCCGTATGTATTGCTTCCATTATATTTCCATATCTACTGCAGGTTTCATATTTTTAGGGTATGAATACCATACTACATAACTAACGATCAGTTACGACGTCCGTTTTGTATTATGACGTCACTTCTTATGTAAAATATTTTCTATCGATCAGAAGGTCGAGATCGGTGCCCTTACTCATGAAACCTTTCTCGTGCTCAAGTATGGATTCTGTGCTCAAGAAAATTTTCTTGTCACTCACTTAAATCATGTCAAACGATCAAAAACCCTAATGTAAAAATTGAAAACCGTATTCGGCTCTTAGTCTCTTAATAATTTATAACCGGAACAAGAAATTAGGCTTGAGCACAAAATCCATGTTTGAGCATGAGAACGGTTTCATGAATACGGGCCGAGTCCTCGTGTTTGATACTTATGGATTATCACAATACGATTGTAGGAAGAAACAATTTCTCATCGCGGGCATGTGGTTAAAGTGAAGATGCTACCGCAGGTGAACTTGGGATTTGATTCACGTACGAGCGATGAGAAAAATGTTCGAACGACAAACCCTGCAAACATTAAAAAGTCAACTAAATGTCATATTATTTTACCGATTCTACCTAGGCCTAAGTAATGATCATCGTCAAAGGTCATTGACAAATGTAGCAAACAGTTTTTCAAGGAGAAAACACAATATGATATGGAGGAATACCGTAAACCATAAAACTATTTAGAAAGGTATTTTCAAAATAATATTAAAGGAATTGGTTCTTCATAAATGCTTAAAATGTTGTTATCCCCACAACTTATTTTTATAATTCTATAAATATTTGTTTGTGACGGACTATTTTGTATATGGGGAACACCTTGGTGTGGATACTGTCTGCGATTCATGTATTGGAAAAGCAATCCTCAAGTCGTTCTCAAATATTTGCATACTGCCAAGCCGTTATAACGAACTTATCTTGCTACTGGTAGGTTGCATAAAGTGGTAAATAGATATAAGGACAAAAAACATGTCTTTTAACATTTTGGTTGTAGGATAAATATACTGATTCCAGTAGTGTATACCTTCTTTACTCATTGTATGGGAAAGAGAATAGATCAGTCAACACTGGGAGGAAATCCTCTTAATACATTATTCAGAGTAAATTAATCCGACCAAATTCTTGTTATATTAATTGCAGTAGAATATTTAGATCTTTTAATCCAATACGTACTTTTAAACGAGTGAGTGATAATTGTAATGTGATATATGGCTTCATATGTGGGGTTTCCCTTTCGATGTATTTCCACATTCTATATCAACACTTCCATCATAAAACATAAATGTTCAATATTTTTACCCATTAATGCTGTCAATACTTCGTTCAGCTTTCCGCATCGACAAAGGCAGTTTTTTTTTTAGATAGATGTCCCGTTATCCATAATTGAAAATGAAACCCTTTTAGATTTTTTTACTGGGCTAGCAATAATTCAAACCTTGGATCAAGTAAGTAATGCTATCGACATGATTGGGGACTGGTATATCATGTTTCAGAAGTTTGAGTCAAAATATCCAGGATGATGAATTATACGGCACGTGTTTTGAGATTAAAGCCGAAAACGTTCCTGTGCTAACAGCCGGACAAGAACAAGGTAAGTCCCTTTCTACTTTTTATTGAAATATAGAATATAATATTTGTATCCGTTATCAGCACGATAAGTGGTTCTTAATTGTTAATCTTTGAATATCGCCCTACTGTTATAAATTATCCTCTCGTTTTACTGTTATAAATAATCCAATCGTCCTTCTGTTTTACATTAAATTCTTGTCCTTCTATTTAACATTATCGTCTCGTCTTTCTGTTTTACATTATCTTCTCGTCCTTCTGTTTTACATTATCTTCTCGTCTTTCTATTTTACATTATCTTCTCGTCCTTCTGTTTTACATTATCTTCTGGTCTTTCTGTTTTACATTATCTTCTCGTCTTTCTGTTTAACATTATCTTCTCGTCTTTCTGTTTTACATTATCTTCTCGTCCTTCTGTTTAACATTATCTTCTGGTCCTTCTGTTTTACATTATCTTTTCGTCCTTCTGTTTTACATTATCCTCTGGTCCTTTTGTTTTACATTATCTTCTGGTCCTTCTGTTTTACATTATCTTATCGTCCTTCTGTTTAACGTTGTCTTCTCGTCTTTCAGTTTTACATTATTTTCTCGTCTTTCTGTTTTACATTATCTTCTTGTCCTTCTGTTTTACATTATCTTCTCGTCTTTCTGTTTAACATTATCTTCTCGTCTTTCTGTTTTACATTATCTTCTGGTCCTTCTGTTTTACATTATCTTCTGGTCCTTTTGTTTTACATTATCTTCTGGTCCTTCTGTTTTACATTATCTTATCGTCCTTCTGTTTTACGTTGTCTTCTCGTCTTTCTGTTTTACATTATTTTCTCGTCTTTCTGTTTTACATTATCTTCTTGTCCTTCTGTTTTACATTATCTTCTCGTCTTTCTGTTTTACGTTGTCTTCTTGTTCTTCTGTTTTACATTATATTCTCCTTCTTCTGTTTTACATTATCTTCTCGTCCTTCTGTTTTATATTATCTTATCGTCTTTCTGTTTTACATTATCGTCTTGTCCTTCAGTTCTATATTATCTTTTCGTCCTTCTGTTTTACATTATCTTCTTGTCCTTCTGTTTTATATTATCTTCTTGTCCTCCTGTTTTACATTATCTTCTTGTCCTTCTGTTTTACGTTATCTTCTCGTCTTTCTGTTTACATTATCTTATCGTCCTTCTGTTTACATCATCTCCTAGTGCTTCTGTTTACATTATCTCCTCGTCCTTCTGTTTACATTATCTTATCGTTCCACTTTTATGAATTATTTTCTTTTCCTAATGTTATAGATTATTTTCCCTCACTAATGTTTGAAATTGTTTTCTCGTCCTAATTTTATATATCTTGTTCTATTCCTAATGTTAAAAATGTTGTTTTTTTGTCCTCCAATTAATTTTCTAGTTTATCTGAGATATGATTTTTATTTCACCCGTTCAGGAATAGAATTGATGATCAGTTTGGACCACGAAGAGTTTATCCCCTTCATAACGGAGGGCATAGGTATAAACACGCGTATCTATGACAACAAAAACAAGAATCCATTCTTAGCAGAAAGCTCGGATGGAGTCAAACTGTCGGCGGGGTTTGAAATAAACATTGCCATATCATTGGTAAGTAACTTTAATTCCCATGATTCAAATTTCAAGATAAGCGTAAGTGTTTGCCGGCCAATCATCTGTTTATCCGTCAATCATCAGTTTAAACTATTGTGGCAGATTTTAATTGTACATATGATTACGGTCGCCTTCTAGCTTCGAGCTAGAGGGAATTTCCCTTCAGCTTAGTGGTAGAGCGTCCGATTAGGAACCTATTGGGATCGCGGGTTCAATCCCCGGTGGAAGCACACTATTCTCCTCTCTGTTACACTTTAATGGCAATTATACATACATCTATATTATTTCTTTTTCTTTAGATTACTTGTGATAAAGGTAATCATAAATTATTTTTTCTCCACGAACACATATCAGCCAAATCATTTATTTGAAGGTATGAAAAGACAGTGTATGTTATGTGTTTTCTCCTTTAACAGACAGAATACAACAGAAAACCAGGAAACAATGCCCGATGTGACAATACAAACCAGTTCCCTAACATACTGGTATGTTTCTGTTCAGTTTCTGTTCACTAGGGGATGTCTCCTGAGAAAGAGAAAAGAAAAAACTTCTTATTCATATTTTCCTGAAAGGATGACCTGTTTTACTGCATGTGTTAACCTGAAGTGCCTTCGTTCCAATACAGGGTGATTTATGTAAAGCTTAAGCTTGTTATCAGTATCTTTGAAATCCTACTATTACATTAAGTGTTCTCGTTATGTTTAAGTTATTTTCCTTGGGGTCATCACATTTCTAAAACAAAGACGATGTGATTTAAGTTAGCATGAATTCGTTTCAGAATGCTACAATTATCTTTTTTGTTCAGTAGTTAAGCAATTAATATCAGTTCATAATTTGTTTTCAACAATGATTTAAATTTGATTTTTTATTTAAGCATATTGACTGATGATACAGGAGAGGCCAGTAATATCCGTGTTTTTCATAATGTCTATTTCTTGAAAGACAATGATCAGAAACTCCAAGCATACTTGTAAATCATTTGTTTTGGTTTAAATTGACATTCCTTTTACAGGCATGTCTTGAAGAATGTGTACGTAACGTCGTCTCTGAGAAGTGTGGTTGCGGTTCTACGGGAGCTATAGACGAAGATTTTGAACCTTGTGACAAATCTGCAAGTATGTTTATCCTTTTTCTCTTCTACAGTTAAACTGATCTTTAAAAACAATTAAAGATGGGCAGAGGCATAGACAGACAGATAAAGACAGAAAGTCAGAGAGTCAACAACCGATTGACATACAGTGTTAATATATTTTGATAGTATAGAACCCATTGTCAATGTACAAATTACACGAGATAAAAAAAAGATACGGAAAAAATGTTGCTAGACCTGGAGGGTTTGAACAATCACTGTCGTTATTAAAAACGTACATCAATGATTTTTCCTTACTTCAACTCATTCACTGTTATTGATCTTGTAAAGGCTATTGTACATTTGAACGCGTTGCACGTGTTTTATATCCACTGTACTTTCACGTACCGTCATCCAATGGGTTCTGTCACCATTAAATAAATAGACGTGTTTTTATGTCCTCGTTCCTTTCAACGTTATATATTAATGATGTACTTTGTTTCGTTTTACGTAGGTTTGGTATGTAGGAAACGTATTCAACAGTCTATTTATTCCCATTGTCCTGATTGCAAACAACCGTGCAAGTAAGTTACCCAAATCACACTTTGTAAAATTATCTATGCAATTGAGTTTTACATTTTTTTCAATATAATATCAATTGAATTACCCTTTTAGAATAATGCATGATTTAAGAATTGCTACGAACAGTCTATTTATTCCCATTGTCCTGATTGCAAACAACCGAGCAAGTAAGTTACCCAAATCACACTTTGTTAAATTATCTATGCAATTGAGTTTTATATCTTTTTTAGTATAATTTCAATAAAAATACCCTTTCGGAAAAATGCATGATTTAAGTGTTGTTACGAACGGTTCTAAATGCCCGGCGCACTTCCCTCAATACTGAAGGGAAATTGTTTTCATTAAAGTCTATACGCTTCTATTTTTCAGTGAGAAGAAATATGAACAATTAATTACGATGACACGCTGGCCGTCCAAGTCGACAGAACCACTGGTTCGTAAAATTCTCCGAGATAATAACAAAACGACCCCATCACTGAGGTAATTACTTTGTCGAATACCTTTGAGATTAAACATGACTTGATGATTACATCACATAACATAGTGTCGAAAATGTTAAAAATTAAAACCTTACTTAACATGCATACGCTTTCAAAATGATACCCTAAACAAAAACGGTGAACAAAATATTTTATATACATAAAGCCGTTTTTATAATATTTCATTTAAAAAATCAATTAGTAAGCATCCCACTAAGCTCATGCAGCAATTCATCAACCTGTTCTACGTGTTTCTGAATGTTACCACAATCAAAGAGAAACAACATGGCAAGTGAAATGTGATGAAGCTTAGAAGGCTTCACAGAAAAACATCTAATGGAAGACAGGTGTCTGAGTTAATAATATAATAGCGATTCTTTGGAATCGATTATTATAAATAAGTCATGGAAATTAAGTAGGTTATCACAGCAATGCTCAATGCACTACAAGTATGTAAATAGCAAGTAATGAATATTAATACATTTTGCTAGTTAAGAAATAATCAACATATGTGCGTGCATTATGGTGGAATACATAACGAGGGTGAGAAAATGTTGGTAAAAATAAAAAATAAAACAATATTATATCAGCCATAAAAGGTAACTAAAACATACAAGATATTATTGGAAAAATATATGACATAACTTTGTATAGCAGAACGTGATTACTGAGAGGTCACGGATATTTAACAGTTAAAGTATGGTAATGAGGGATATAGCAAGTTTATGATCCCCCGAGGCCAGGACTATTTCCCGAGGCGAACAACTGTTTTATTATACCGATACAAACACTCCCTTACAATATTCTAAATATTATTAGACAACAAATTTTCAACAATTGGGACACCTTATTAACAAAACTAAAATTTTCTTGAGAATCAACATCAGAAAAAACCATCTTCGTTTCTGTTCTTTATAAAATGTTTCTGTATACCAAACCGCATAGTCATCATAGATTTTTTGGCATATTTTTTCCCATCCTGCTTTCGAAGCTCGCCATAAAAACGCCTCAGCGTCGCATCACAATTCTCCACTGTGACCGTTTCCATGTCCGCGATATCCAAACCCTTTTCAGTGAGGTAGCTAGAGAGCAATGTAACGGCTGCCTGTTTTTTTTTTTTTTTTTTTTTTTGTGTTCCAACTGTCTTTTGTCTCCAATATGTCCGACAACTCGCTCTCGTCCAACACACAAAACGTGGAGGTCGCCATTTCTGTTGTCGTCTGTCAACAACAATGCGAGGTGAAGGTCGGTCCAGAAAGTACCGGCTCCGCGAACTATTTCCCTGGCATGCAGTTAGAGGGGAAATATCTTGTTTATATGGTTACTTTTGTATAGTGTAAAATAAGTAGATGTATAATAATAAATATTAAAACATGATGTGAGGGAGCTGTGAGGCAAGTCTTTAAGAATAGAATCTTACATGGGTCTGGTCCGTGGACAGGGATATCTTAACCCGAGTGTAAGATTTTACTTGCCTCGTGCTGGCCAGCCAAACTCTTACACGAGGGCTGATATATCCATGTCCATGGTAAAGACCCATTTTTGATTGATTTTCTCACATACTTACAAATAAACATCGATCTGATTCTTACACCAAAACCACAAAACCCTAGGGTTGAGACGGAGGATTCTCCATTCGCAACAAGGGTATGACATCACGGAAACAATACAATGGCGTCACGTTGACAATTCATTATTATGACGTCATAGCGCGTGTCAGCTGTCTTTCCCTACCCCGTGTGAGATAGAGTTTTCTTACATACTTGACCGAGATATCCGCATTTCCGGCGGTGCTGGAAAATTCTATCCGACCCACGGGTCTAGATCGCTTACACGCGCAGACTGGCTGGGGGGATTATAGTGACCTTTCGAGGTCACGCTATTGTTCTTGACGTCATTTTATGACGTTTTGGGGTCAGCCAGGGTCATTGACGTCACTAAAAATTGACATCCGGGCTTCATATGCAAATGAGAAATGCGCAGACATTTTACAACTTTACTTGAAGAGCAGCTATTTTCCGGGTTTTAGGTAATAAGCAAGAAATAGAATACATCCCTGATGTGAGGTAAGGATAAGGTTATTCAAACCCTCGAGACAAAATATTTAGCAAAAGACCCTCGGCAAAGCCTCGGGTCTCCTGCTCAATATTTTATCCCGAGGGTTTGAAAAAACCTTATCCATACCTCACATCAGGGATGGATTCTATTAATCTTTTCCCTAGCAACAACGGGATTGTCCTGTGAAGTATGTGAGAAAATGTCTTCTTTGGAACATAAAGGGTATGAAAGACCATTATAGCGTTCTTTGTAATAATTTCAATGGGCAGGGTAAAAAGGTATAGAGCGTTTTAAATGGATGAAAAAGATACCATATGTTATGTTTAACATTCCCTTTAAAATAGCTTATGAAACTAAATGTCTGTCAACAATGTTCCTATAGAGAACGTAGGTTAATAAAGGGATATAGACTAATGTCGCTATTTACTGAAAATACAAAACTACGACGTTTTCATAATAATCAACCATTACATATTAACAACAACTAATGCTCATTTCATAGCTTATCATTTTCATATATGAAGTACAAGATATGATAAATTAATGGGAGTTTAAGAAGATTTTGAAAATTTGTTGGGTGCTCTATCTTTTTCACTTCACCCTTTTTTACCTTTGGATTTTACCATAAGAAAATAAGTTGAATTAAATGTAGTTGATAATATCAATAAGATTATAAAGCAATATCTATATCCATCAAGGTTTTTAAAAAATCAGTAACTGCACTAAGAACGCCTACCAGAAAAAAAATGTCGATGGTAAAGTGATTAGCACCGAACTCAGCTGTTTCCCAGTCTAGTTCTTCATCTGTCTGAATTGTGAAAAGATTCGTGTAGCACCACCAATACGTGCTGGTTGTGCTACATGCATCTTTTCACAATCAACCTTCGTATCACGCATTGAAAAATATTAATGTATGTCTTGTATCATGTAGATACCATAATACTTGCCTATATCATTCATTGATCTCCCTCTATCTAGCATTTTTTGGAATTAATCTGTGTAAAACATTTCTGTAACAATACACATGTAATGCTGAGAAAATGTCGTTTTCCAGAATAATTGTTCGAATACTGATAACATATATATTTGTTATAATTGTTGGTTTTGATTTTGGTTTATATTACTGAACATTAACTTGCAGTGTTACATAATTGGTTCCCCTACTACCAACGTCTTAGACGGATGTATTCATGAACGTTGATTTGTCATTTTAACTGTGATCAAAATTGTGTCATTCTAGTGAAAATGTGATGTTGGTGCATGTGTATTATTCTTCACTCACTGTCCAGAGTTTTAATGAAGAAGTGGCGTACACGGTAGGTACAAAAATGGCAATTCACAGTAGACATATAATATAGATATATTTGAAATATGGAATACTTCATGCATCTTAAAGTCACTTTAGTCCCATGGCAGAGCGTCGACAAAACATCTTATTCCGTTCATCAACACGTTCTCACTATTCTAATACATATTTAACTGGTATAGAAGAGTGATGAGCTGAAAATGTTTTTCTCCAACCAAGATAAAAATATAACATTTTACATTAGAAGTCTGCAATAATTTTCTCAGTTTCAATATTTGTTTTATAAGGGGAAATACATATGTCATTTATATTTGCCAGTGTAATGGTTAATACCTGTTATTTCGACTTTTATGTGCAGGAGGAGAACTTTGTAAGTGACATTGGAGGACAGCTGGGACTTTGGATTGGTATGTCCGTACTGACTCTGGCAGAGATTGTCGAGTTAGGCATTCTCATTCTGATTGGATTCTGTGAAACACGGAATAAAGATGTAACTCCAGTCGTTCCTACAGGATAAATAAACGTGGTACAGGAACACTTGATGCAGCCTAAATCCACAGTTATTTGACTATTTTATGTTTGTGGACCTGAAAAAAACTGTTCTCTTATGAATCTTGGTTTTTCGAACGACAAACCGAGGAGAATTTAGGTTTCATATCGTTTTACAACATCGTCACCTAACCTGGTCTAATAATGGTGGAAATTAAGAAGTCACCATTCCCTTCCCTGATTGTTCAACTTGTTCTTACTTTTACACACGCCCTTCATGCTGATTGTCTTTTGTTAGTCTTTTATCGGCCCTTACAGTTATTTTTTACCCATTCAAATGACTCTAGCGGGCTGATAATCATGAAAAAACGGACAGGACGTTCTTGGCAACCTTTCTCCATTGTCCACTTCAAAAGTCCAATCTGACATCTTAGTATATAACACTCTCTTATTCCTGGTCACGATACTGATCCTTTTCTATTTTGATGTGACGAACATTGTCTTCCATCTTCTTGCTGCTGATATTTTAAGCCCCACGTGCATCGACTGATTACCAAAACCAGAAAAGTCTGTACTCATCTGCTCCGTAATGTTGATGGGTGACTGAAACACATTCACCTATGTGTACCATGATACACAGTGTAATCAAGCCATAGCATTTCTTTATGGCACGTGGAATAAAAACGTCAACTACGCTGTTTTGATGTTTATGTGAATAGCATGCGTTGGAACTACCTATGAAGCGTAAAAATGACGATTTTGTTCAAAATCTTAATTACCAAAACATTCCTCCGCACCAAATAATGCAAATCACTGTTCGTTTATTTAAAAATGTAAACAATTACAGCCATGCAAATGATGCTGAACACAAGAATATATTGAAAACCCTTCAGTAACAACTTTGACACATAATTGTCAATAGACGCTATCGCCAACATCCTTAAATATCGCCTAGCACCATAGGTGGAACATTATTGTCAGTGGAAACATCATTGTTGGAACAAGCAGTATCACCATTAACTCATATGAACACATAGATATATTCGCAGTGGTCAAAATGCGCCGTCCTTTGTTCGTGCATGAAACCGACACCGAGTGAACATTGCATTTCCGCGCCAAGTGACGTCACGCTCGACGTCATACAAACAGTCGTTACGACACTAGCGAACTATTATTTTATTGTACATTTGTTTCAATCGCAAATTAACAGTTGTAAGTAATTTCATGTGTGTTTGAAATTTTATCAGTTTTAAGTAATTTCATGTGTTTGAAATATATGATTAGATGATTTCATTCAATAAAATGTCAATTTCAAATGTCTGGATTACCTTTTACATATTTATTTATTTATTTCCAATTTAACCGTTCATTGAACTCGGCGGGAGAGGACTATTTCTTCTTTCGTTTGCCGAAATATTTGAGCTACTTTGGGTTTTTGGTGATTTTGTTACAAAATGGTTGCGATCAGCTTACCACTGAGACAGAAAACAGACAAAGTATGAGAAAATCAATGATAAATACGTCATATGATAAAAAGTATCGGGTAGTCGTTTTCCTTCATATCAGATTTATGATATTCGTTTGAAAATTTGTATCTTTGCCAAAGGCTCGTAAAAATGAAGAACTCTTAACTAATAGTATGAATCTTATATGAAGGGAATCCAATGGCAGATCTTCTATATATCATTATGTAAATAAACATTGTTAATGATGATGTGGTTTATTTGTCTCCCATCGCGTACGTATCGATTATCAAGTCAACTGGCATTTACATGTATTATTGGGTGACGGTCGTTACGACTGATGGATGGATGCAACCATGGACGATGTATAATTGTTCGGACGGCAATATGGTAATAACTAGATCCCCCGTCCCCCGAAAAAAATAAGCTCTGACTCCCACTGGTATGATTTAGTTTCATTAGCTATTATTCCCGTGCTGGTACGGTTTGGTATATTAATGATGTTTGTCTCGCGCTAGCAAATATTATACACAAAAATCTTCCCAGAAACGAAATCACTTCCGGTTACTACTCCACTGCTGGGATCGAAAAACTCATCAAAGATTATATTTTGGTATTGAAGTTCTAGAAGAAAACAAGCCATCGGAATTCCAACGGGATCTAGGAGTGTATTACTTCTAGCGGATCTTGTTTGTTTACTAATGTAGCTTACCATGATTAATGAAGATTGGAGATAAAATACTTATTCATAATTCAAAAGTTTGTTTCACATTCAGATATATAAATGGCATGTTGTTATTGAATAGCATGTATTTCAAAAGCGGCATCGTATCCTATGGAAGAGTATTAGGGCCACGTAGGAAAACTAAATTATCTTTTTCGCCTGTTACTGACTCGAATTTCGAAATAAAATCTCTATATGTACTGATTCGAAATTTCGACTTGATTTCTCGAATGTTAGACTTAATAACTAGACATTTCTTTATACTTTTGTATGCTAATTTTTGCTTCGATAAACTTGTAAAAAGCATGGATTATAATTCATTACCATGGACTGATATAACATATTAATAATCATCACATTAGGATTTACATTTTGTATGTATTATTGCAAATGTGTTTTAACTTTTTTTTTTCAAAGTGGCCGTAATGCTCTTCCGTAGTATCCCAAAGAATTTACATGTTTCTCTTCGTCAGCTGCATATCTCTTTCATTTGTATGATACGACCATAACTGTCATAATGGCATCCTGTTTCTGAAGGGTTTTAAGTTGTTTCGGAATCTAACAATGAAATATAAATAGGATTTCATTACAACGACATGTATTTCAAATTTTGAATTATCATTTAACCATATTTTTAAATTTCAGTAGATAACCTTTGTATGAAAATGTGAGTGAACTTAAAAATATGGTCGACGTATCCTCACGACATTATATTCTAATGAATGTTTACAAAAATGAGAACCAGTGGAAGAGTTTGGATGCTAAATATGAATTTATTATGAACCACACATCCTGAATAATACGCACACGGTATCAAGAACGTTTACCTTGTTGACTTTAATTGGAAAACACTGTTTTTATAATATCCATGGCTTGGTAATACCCGTCGTTAAAACGAAAACAATTAATCGACCAATCAGATAAGTTAGACATATTTTGTGCAGAAAAGGTTTTTGTATCACATTATTCACAAAATATAACCCAAGTTCTACCGAAGAATTCTGTCAATAATTGAAGGAAATTTAATGTAGTGTTAAGTAATGACTATCAAATATGATAAAACAACACGAATCAATAAAATTGAATGACAGGTTTATTTGGCTACCAGCGTAAACATTTATCTCATGTATAAACTTTCTAACAAGCAAACAAAAAAAATTGCATCCCAAAATAGCGTAAAATTGATAGTGATGAGGTAGGAGAAAATTTCAAATACTGTCATCTGAAAAGAAGACCTTCCTGGAAAAGTTCGATTTAACGTCATTGTTTGACTCCAGTGTTTTTGTACGGGATGTAGCGGTTGCTCTTGTACTATCGCCGACATTTCTTATTCCCCTACAACGAAATGTAATCATCCGTAATGAAATATTCACGCCTCGGTAATCAATAATGATTGTTGACTTATCACAAGATTTGGATATTCCTATTCGAAGTGTCCGTTAGTTTGCTTTTTAACAATTCGCCGAATTATGTTGGAAACGAACAGGTCTTGATGAACGAAACTCTACTTTTCTTCTGTACTGTTGACGTCAAAACATGTTTTCTTTCATGTGCTATAATTATCCTATAGTAATATTATTTTACTTAAGAGTAACATTATTCCTATATTACACATGCCGACTTGTTCAATGACACGAGTTCCCATGTTAGTCATCCCTGTGTCTTTCAATCCCTTTATCTTGAAAATTGAAATGGTACCACTGAGTGATCCAGAACTCATCAGTAAGCATTGGCGGGTTGGGCTGTCCTGTGCACCAATGAACCTTTAAACAGAAAAGTACAATAAGTTTATGTATATTTTTACAACAAGTTTTCTATTGATAAGATGTAACGATAAATTCAGTGAACAACAGATAGGTCAATATAGGTGTGTATCTCCTATTGGTGGCGGGATTGAGTGATGTAGACTTATATAAAAAATTACAGATGGAAGTCAGTGATGTAAGGGAAGTAACTCTATTGTAATCCTTAAATTGAGTGTACATTGACTCCAATTTATCCGTATCCTTGGTTTTAGACAACACATTATCTTTAATCATAAGTTGAGAAAAACTAAATTCCATGAAAAGGAAATATATGAATATGCAATATCAGCCATCAATATTATTGTATTCACAAAAAAACACTATGCTGACATTTTTATGATCAATATATAAATAATTCCACTATAAATTACCTTTTTGGAGAGATTTGACATCCGTCTGTGCATGCTTGTTTATCTAGTTCAGTGTATATCTTATTATCTTAAGGAAAAAGGTATCACTAAATCAGTTATAATCGTAAAGAACACTTATATTCAAGGTTGTTCTGACTTCCCTACTCCATAGAAGATAATGCAACCGGAGCAGGTTTTTTTTTGCTTAGAGTGACTTCCCCTCTCACGTTCTCAACATACGTGCGGCCCATACACTACTTTTGATGTTATTGTTGTATTTTGTCTGTATGGCAACATTAGTGGAGTGTAGAATTAGAAATGTAAAGGTCCCGAGCTCAACACCTACAGTTTTTCTTCTTGTATTACTTTATATTTTCATTATTTTTGTTTTTAAACATTCAAATTTTAAACCATTACAAATCTGTGAAATGCATCGAATTTTATGGAATATTTCTTTTGAAAAGAACCTAACAAATACTTCACAACGGTGACAATGATAATGCTGTAGTTCAGCGTGTTGATGCCCCTTATCTTATCTCTGCTTGTCAATATGGTTGTATTTGTCTTATCTTTGCTTGTCATTATGGTTGTATTTGTCTTATCTCTACTTGTCATTATGGTTGTATTTGTCTTATCTCTGCTTGTCATTATGGTTGTATTTATCTTATCTCTACTTGTCATTATGGTTATATTTGTCTGATCTCTGCTTGTCATTGTGGTTGTATTTGTCTTATCTCTACTTGTCATTTTGGTTTTGTTTATCTTGTCTCTGCTTGTCATTATGGTTGTATTTATCTTATCTTTACTTGTCAATATGGTTGTATTTGTCTTATCTCTGCTTGTCAATATGGTTGTATTTGTCTTATCTTTGCTTGTCATTATGATTGTATTTGTCTTATCTCTACTTGTCATTATGGTTTTATTTATCTTATCTCTACTTGTCATTATGGATGTATTTGTCTTATCTCTGCTTGTCATTATGGTTGTATTTGTCTTATATCTACTTGTCATTATGGTTGTATTTGTCTTATCTCTTCTTGTCATTATGGTTGTATTTGTCTTATCTCTGCTTGTCAATCTCTACTTGTCGTTATGGTTGTATTGATCTTATCTCTACTTGTCATTATGGTTGTATTTATCTTATCTGTGCTTGTCATTATGGTTGTATTTGTCTTATCTCTACATGTCAATATGGTTGTATTTTTCTTTTCTATTCTTGTCATTATGGTTGTATTTGTCTTATCTCTGCTTGTCATTCTGGTTGTATTTTTCTTATCTCTACTTGTCATTTTGGTTTTATTTGTCTTGTCTCTGCTTGTCATTATGGTTGTATTTGTCTTATATCTACTTGTCATTATGGTTGTATTTGTCTTATCTCTAATTGTCATTCATTATGGTTGTATTTATCTTATCTCTACTTGTCATTATGGTTTTATTTGTCTTATCTCTGCTTGTCATTATGGTTGTATTTATCTTATCTCTGCTTGTCATTAAGGTTGTATTTGTCTTATCTCTGCTTGTCATTATAATTGTATTTGTCTTATCTCTGCTTGTCATTATAATTGTATTTGTCTTATCTCTGCTTGTCATTATAGTTGTATTTATCTTATCTCTACTTGTCATTATGGTTGCATTTATCTTATCTCTACTTGTCAATATGGTTGTATTTGTCTTATCTATGCTTGTCATTATGGTTGTATTTGTCTTCTCTCTGCTTGTCATTATGGTTGTATTTGTCTTATATCTACTTGTCATTATGGTTGTATTTGTCTTATCTCTGCTTGTCAATCTCTACTTGTCGTTATGGTTGTATTGATCTTATCTCTACTTGTCATTATGGTTGTATTTATCTTATCTCTGCTTGTCATTGTGGTTGTAGTTGTCTTATCTCTGCTTGTCAATATGGTTGTATTTGTCTTATCTCTTCTTGTCGTTATGGTTGTATTTGTCTTATCACTACTTGTCATTATGGTTGTATTTGTCTTATCTCTACCTGTCATTATGGTTGTATTTATCTTATCTCTAGTTGTCATTATGGTTTTATTTATCTTGTCTCTGCTTGTCAATATGGCTGTATTTGTCTTATCTCTACTTGTCATTATGGTTTTATTTATCTTATCTCTACTTGTCATTATGGATGTATTTATCTTATCTCTACTTGTCATATTTGTCTTATCTCTGCTTGTCATTATGGTTGAATTTGTCTTATATCTACTTGTCATTATGGTTGTATTTGTCTTATCTCTGCTTGTCAATCTCTACTTGTCGTTATGGTTGTATTGATCTTATCTCTACTTGTCATTATGGTTGTATTTATCTTATCTGTGCTTGTCATTATGGTTGTATTTGTCTTATCTCTTCTTGTCGTTATGGTTGTATTTGTCTTATCACTACTTGTCAATATGGTTGATTTGTCTTATCTCTACTTGTCAATATGGTTTTATTTATCTTATCACTGCTTGTCATTATCGTTGTATTTATCTTATCTCTACTTGTCATTATGGTTGTATTTATCTTATCTCTGCTTGTCATTGTGGTTGTAGTTGTCTTATCTCTGCTTGTCAATATGGTTGTATTTGTCTTATCTTTGCTTGTCATTATGGTTGTATTTGTCTTATCACTACTTGTCAATATGGTTGATTTGTCTTATCTCTACTTGTCAATATGGTTTTATTTATCTTATCACTGCTTGTCATTATCGTTGTATTTATCTTATCTCTACTTGTCATTATGGTTTTATTTATCTTATCTCTACTTGTCATTATGGATGTATTTGTCTTATCTCTGCTTGTCATTATGGTTGTATTTGTCGTATCTCTACTTGTCATTATGGTTGTATTTGTTTTATTTCTGCTTGTCATTATGGTTGTATTTGTCTTATCTCTTCTTGTCGTTATGGTTGTATTTGTCTTATCACTACTTGTCAATATGGTTGATTTGTCTTATCTCTACTTGTCAATATGGTTTTATTTATCTTATCACTGCTTGTCATTATCGTTGTATTTATCTTATCTCTACTTGTCATTATGGATGTATTTATCTTATCTCTACTTGTCATATTTGTCTTATCTCTGCTTGTCATTATGGTTGAATTTGTCTTATATCTACTTGTCATTATGGTTGTATTTGTCTTATCTCTTCTTGTCATTATGGTTGTATTTGTCTTATCTCTACTTGTCGTTATGGTTGTATTTGTCTTATCTCTACTTGTCGTTATGGTTGTATTTGTCTTATCTCTACTTGTCGTTATGGTTGTATTTGTCTTATCTCTACTTGTCAATTTGGTTTTATTTATCTTATCACTGCTTGTCATTATCGTTGTATTTATCTTATCTCTACTTGTCATTATGGTTATATTTGTCTGATCTCTGCTTGTCATTGTGGTTGTATTTGTCTTATCTCTTCTTGTCATTATGGTTGTATTTGTCTTATCTCTAATTGTCATTCATTATGGTTGTATTTATCTTATCTCTACTTGTCAATATGGTTGTATTTGTCTTATCTCTGCTTGTCATTATAGTTGTATTTATCTTATCTCTACTTGTCATTATGGTTTTATTTGTCTTATCTCTGCTTGTCAATATGCTTGAATTTGTCTTATCTCTACCTGTCATTATGGTTGTGTTTGTCTTATCTCTACTTGTCATTATGGTTGTATTTGTTTTATTTCTGCTTGTCATTATGGTTGTATTTGTCTTATCTCTACTTGTCATTATGGTTGTATTTGTCTTATCTCTGCTTGTCATTATGGTTGTATTTATCTTATCTCTACTTGTCATTATGGTTGTATTTGTCTTATCTCTGCTTGTCATTATGGTTGTATTTATCTTATCTCTACTTGTCATTATGGTTGTATTTGTCTTATCTCTGCTTGTCATTATGGTTGTATTTATCTTATCTCTACTTGTCATTTTGGTTGTATTTGTCTTATCTCTTCTTGTCATTATGGTTCTATTCATCTTATCTTTGCTTGTCATTTTAGTTGTATTTATCTTATCTCTACTTGTTATTATGGTTGTATTTGTCGTATCACTATTTGTCATTATTTGTTTTATTTGTCTTATCTCTACCTGTTATTATGGTTGTATTTGTCTTATCTCTACTTGTCATTATGGTTGTATTTGTCTTATCTCTAATTGTCATTATGGTTGTATTTGTCTTATCACTACTTGTCAATATGGTTGTATTTGTCTTATCTCTGCTTGTCATTATGGTTGTATTTATCTTATCTCTACTTGTCATCATGGTTGAATTTGTCTTATCTCTACTTGTCATTATGGTTCTATTTATCTTATCTTTGCTTGTCATTATAGTTGTATTATCTTATCTCTACTTGTTATTATGGTTGTATTTGTCGTATCACTACTTGTCATTATTTGTTGTATTTGGCGTATCTCTGCTTGTCATTATGGTTGTATTTATCTTATCTCTACTTGTCAATATGGTTGTATTTGTCTTATCTCTGCCTGTCAATATGGTTGTATTTATCTTATCTCTACTTGTCATTATGGTTTTATTTGTCTTATCTCTACTTGTCAATATGGTTGTATTTGTCTTATCTCTACTTGTCCAGGGATTGATATTTATCTTATTTCTACTTGTCATTATAGTTGTATTTATCTTATCTCTACTTGTCATTAAGGTTGTATTTGTCTTATCTCTACTTATCATTATTGTTGTATTTGTCTTATCTCTACTTGTCATTATGGTTTTATTTATCTTATCTCTACTTATCATTATGGTTTTATTTATCTTATCTCTACTTGTCATTATAGTTGTATTTGTCTTATCTCTGCTTGTCATTATGGTTGTATTTGAGTAATGATTGCATCCTTTAGTCATTTAACTCACTTGAGGATGTGTTTTAACAATGCCGTTTGTGTAGATCATACAAAAAAAACAAGGGAAAAAGCGGTAGTTGTTGTTTTATCTAGAAAATCAAATATTACTCTTAGAAACACATCATTTCCATTTTGGAACTTGTTACTTGACGTCATATATTACAATATTGATAAATGAAATAACGTCCAGGATGTTACAAAAAAAATGTTTACCTACACCTAGAAGGTTTTTCACACGAGTCAAAAGTGATGAATCAAAGAGTTTACGGGAGAAATTAATTAAGATGTTGATCATGATACTGGATGCATAGGGTACTGGATATCGTTAGTGTTCTTAATAAACTAGAACTATGCGGGACACATACGGCAGTATGATTCGGTGTTCTATTGGATAGCGAAGATTTTTATAAAACAATTATGATTAACCTGGACGCATACTACATGCTGGTTAAACGTCCTAAAGGCTGACTATCATACTGGACACATACTTGTTTGGTAGATTGTTGTAACCAGTCAAACATAAAGGATGGTTTGTCAATTATAATGTTAAATAACTTCTGTTAAAAAACTGTCTTCTCGATTTTGAATACTACCAATTAGCATGCTAAACTTCATCGGTTCTTTTTCGCTAAAAATATTAAACACATATAAATATCATGTCAGTGAAAAATGAGACACATTCGATTAAACATCACATTGTTAGCAAGAAATTAGCGGAATTATGATGTTGTCGATATGGTCCGTGTGATCTATGTTTTGTTTGGCGGCATTTTTGTTTATTTTGTGAAATGCGAATTTCCACAGACTATCAGTATTTATTGAAAGTGACTAACACCGAATAGTTTCTAGCCGAACTATTTAAGATGAATATTCCGCTGAGTTTATGAAAAGGGGTTTATGAAGAAATCCAATAGAACCCTGGCGCCGGATTCTTTGATTTTATATTAAGATATATTTAATATATTTTCCTTAGAATAACAAAACATACTGCAAAAACTTCTTGCGTTTCTTAAATCGTGTAGAACAAAAAGAAAAGATACAATATGTATCACAGAAATAAACCATCTACAGTTACACATCAGAACCAAATATCAATACAAACGTCTACCGTGGTAATCAAACCTTCTGTCTTCAGTAAAAAAAATACTTTGTACTTCTCTAGAACCTGTTCAGTGTTTCCGAATACGTTATTTTGACCAAGTTACATATTTTACCTGAAATGCTGAAATCTTTCTGAAGATATGCTACGTTTGTAATCATGACATGATTTCCAGCTATGAGATGTCAGCTTTATTGCTCTTATGTGACGTATATTCGTCCTTATTATTAACGGAACATATAATGACAAATCCCAATATTGGGAAGGAAAATTCACCATTCAAAAGCATTTGCTCTTTTGTGCGGGTTTGATTGGATGACGCGACATTGAATCACTTTTAATAAACTCTATGTTCTTGAAAATGACTAGTTCAAGGTAAAGTTAACATGAACATTACTTACCTTTGAAGTCGCACAGAAAGGAGGTTGTAAATTAACTGAACATTTCTTGGGACATATAAAAAAGTCCACTCTGGTAGTCTTCACTTAACTAATCCTAACTAGGGATATACACGTTTAACTTTACCTGATATCCTCTGGATCTTTTTCACTAAGCTCTCTCTGGTCGTACAGGTTGCCAAAAGTGTCGTTTGTTCTGGGTATACCGGAATACACGCTCTCGAACTGTATAGAGCCGACATCGCCCGGTATAGAATATATCGCAATGAAGCCAGGTCTTTCTATTCCAACAAACAGAAGCATCAGATCCCCTATCTGAGCAACAGCCAAGTCCTCAACCTCAGGACCCTGCAGGACAGTTATAAACAAATATATAATAAAAAAAGGGTACATGCATTTGTTTTTGAAACGTGATGTTGTGGTTTTCTTCAACAGAAAACTGAAACATTCTTAGCGTTTTACACATATTATACATTATGACAAAATTAGGATTTTACAATCCTTTGACAGTCAGCTCTAAAATTAGAAAAAAAAATTTACATAAAAAAAAAGTTTAGATTTTGATTTTTTCTTTTCTGCGCTTGGTGCTTGATATTGTGCTGTTTGTGCATTGTAATAAAAAAGTGAAGAAATATAAACGTTTTTAAAAGAATGTAGAGCTTTCATTTGATATACATGCACTAGTTATCGAAGATATCAAACCTTGTCATCAGATCGGGAATCCTTCATTACAGAAACAATGTCGTTCCTGTCTTCCCCATTGGAATTGAACAATGCGGTTTCCTGTTGTGCAATCATTTTTTCAATGTCGCCCCCGCTGTCGTAAACTCGTTCAAATGTATTAAGGTCGAGTATTGATATACTTCTGCCTCCGAAAGCGTACAAAGCGTTGTAGGCATCACCAGATTTTCCCTCTAGTTTAGTAACCTTCAAACGTCCTAAAAAAAACATATTAACTTAGCAATGTTCTCACCATGAAGAATGTATCTTGTAGAAAGGAAAAACACAGTCGATGTTGTACCTGTAAAATTTGGGGTTTCTTTAATAAACATGCTATAAATTTGATAGCACAATCTGCTCAAAATATTCCACTTACCTAAATTTTCATCCTTGCTCAGAGTGTTATTGTATCCGTTCAAGTCGGCCCACTGAACTACATCGGAAGATGCTTAAAAAAACGGCGTATGGAAACAATTTAAGTCAGAGGTAGCATATAAATGTATTACACCAGAATAGGTGGTATGAAACTGAAACAATATCAGTGACTGTAAAAGGGTGAAATGATCCATGATTAAATTTATATTGTTTTGTCTTTTGCTACGGATTCTTTCTATTATGGAAATCTTTTATCCCTTAAGAATACCTGTCCCACTGCACTGTATTTTTGACTTATATACAGTAACCTCCTTTTAATTTCGTTTGGTATTTAATTGTAGCAAAGAGTTTTACTTCCGTTAACGAGACAGCTCAGTCGGTTAGAGCGAAAGTATAATATTTTCCAGTGTTCGAATTCTAGTCTAGCCCCTCGTTAAATTTTACACTAATAATACTATCGTGCTTGTATTTTGTTTATTTTATCTTTGTTATTATCATAAAAGACCTGCAATGTATGTGGGTTTTTTTATTTAGTAAAGCTACAAAGCTATTCCGTCTTTGCGTATTGCAGAGTTATCTTCTCTTGGGAGCAGGTATTGATTGTTACGTCACTTGTTTGTGAGAATAACGTCATCATTTTTTGAGAAAACGACGTAATTTTCTCACACAGACCAATGACGTAACAATCAATACCTGCTCCCAAGAGAAGATAACTCTGCAATACGCAAAGACGGAATGGTCATTCCGGAAAAAGTCAGTTTCAAATACTTAGTTACAGTTTTTGGATAAGTTTCATCAAAACATGTATTAACCAAAACATGTTAGTGGACAAGGACAAAGATACTAAATGTTATGTCTGTTTAACCCACGTACGTATCATGAGGTCACTGAGTGTGGTTTTGACATTGGGTCTAAAATATAAAGACTTAAGTTTTCCGAAGTTCCAGCTTATAACGCACTCTATAATAATGGACCTGAAACAATATACCCATTTTAAAAGTGTATCCAATTTAATGTTAGGCATAGTTTGGTACACATTTATGATAAATGTTTATATTCTTTGCAGATACACAACTAACATATATGTGCTATACAGGCCAATCAAAAGGCTAAATAACCGAGGTTAATATTGCGTTTCTTTCTCCGCCATTTCATTACACAAACAGAGTTATCAATATGTTTGATTTGGGCATTCATTGGTGAGATACCATTTAAGGTAAGAGCTGAGACCCTCGTTTCCTCTGTAAAACCTCCAGCTCCTGTAATGTCCGAGTAGTCTTTAGCGTCTCCCTCGTTGGCTGTCACAAGGTATGGTTTTCCTTTTATATACATCACCTTGATGGAGTCTGGCTGGTACATACCCATCACCGGCCACGGACGTATGTTGATTTCTACAATAATAAAGAATGTAAGGATGTCATGCAGTGCTTATGGTTGATTGATAGAGTAAACATTACTTTTCCTGCATACATACATCAGAAATTAGTGAAGCAATTATTAAGAACATAGTTCAAACTTATCGTTTTACTATCATTTGAGGACTTTTTTCCACTTATGAAGAGTGGCCTAAATATTTTCTGTGATTTGGCAGGAGACACTTTGACGGATGCCACTTTTGTTCCAAGAAACATCCTTTTTTAAGTTTTAAATCCATTGCTTTTTGTTGGAGCACATCATGTTCTTCCTCTTTTTATTTCATCCCTTTGTCGACTATAGCCATTCAATGTTGACGCTGTGGTACATTTGTTTTTCTATTTTGTGACTTATCAACTTATTAAGAATGGCAATAGAGTAAAATACTAAGGGAAACAAACAGATAATCGAGGCAGCGGTAAGTAGTTGTGCTTTCATTAAAAAAAAATTGTACGTTTTCTTAAATTGTATATAACTTACTTTGATCTTTGTCGCTTGCGTCAAAATCAAAATCAGTCCAGTTTTTGAACCCAAGAGGATGGATGTGCGTGATATTTTGATTGACAATGTCCACCTCGGCTATAGCATTGTTCTCCTGCAAAAGTAAAGATAAATTTGTATCGAGGCATTGATACATTCTGTTTGATAAAAGATTAATTTATTAATGACTTACAACCTCTTTTCCCTTAAACAGTCTGTTTTTAACATACATTTGTAATAGGTTGGATCTATGGCTTGTGATATATTTGGGACCAGGCCTATATCTTACCTGAAGAGATATGTACGCCACGGTCTCGTCCTTGTTCAATGTGATATACTCCGGCTCAACGTCATTAGAGAACGAGTTGTTGTTTTCCCTGTAGATAAACCGGACTCCACGAGATACTAGCTCCTGCCACCTGACAAATAAATAAAGTAATATTCAATACGTTCATACTCAGATCAAGAATGCGTTTATTTCGTACAAGTTTGTTATAATGTAGATGTAATACCCCTGTGTGTTCTTGTACATATACCCGTCCCCATCTTAGGAGCTATCATACAAATTCATATTGAGAACATTTTCTAGGGGTATTGTTACCTCTGATACATGCCAAAATAATATAAAACATTTAAATAAGTATATGTTTATCCGCAATACACTTGTCGCAGCCCTCCATGAGAGAATATGGTGTTGAACATTTGGTAAACGACTATAAAATCAAAGTTCTTCAGTAGCAAATTAAAAGGATATATATTAAATATCAATCAGTATTTAATATCGATCAGTAAGACGAGGAATAGATATAGTTTGTCCAGAGTAATCTCAAGGGAAGGGGGTATAAACAGCTTTTATATCACAGGATAGAAACGTACAAGGAAAATGAATACTCAAGAGAGACGTTTACTTCACTCTATTAGAAACTGCGCATAGAATGAAACGTTATAAAAATACATTCACTATCCTTACACTAACAGAACAACTGCATCTGAAGTTATTTGTAATGCATCGCATTTAATATAAGCGAACATTGAATCATCGCATATTAACTTGTATTTACCTGTCGTTAAACTTTCTGAAGTCGAGTTTCGTGTACTGATATGCCCCCTCCACACCTGTCGTGAATTTAATTATCCCTACAGCACCTTCTGGGTCGACGAAGTGAGAACCATTGTTATAGGCTTCGGCTTCTAAAGCCACAATCACGGTCTGGCAATCGGACGTGGGGTACACCATGTCCGGCAGCGAACCAACTGTAATGGTACGAGGTTTTATATCAGGTAAATTCAGCCTCCCTCTCTTTCAAGGGAATACAATAATTAAATGCGAATACAAATAGTCATACCTAATCAAAACACGGTCATAGTTAGGCGCTTGCAGTGATTTCAGGAAAGCAAATGAAATATTTACACATTTTCAATAAAACATTCTCTGAAAGCGTTATATTTAATATAAAAATGTTTTACTAAAAACATTTCTCTTTTAGGACTAATAAAACTCATACATACGGCAATACAATTGTGCAGCCTATAACGCGATAACCAAACGGTATATTATAAATCGCACAAGACGAAGCAATTTCAATCTACAAAAGTTGGTCTTCGGTCGTTAAACAGTTACTTACCTGTGATTGTGTGAACCTTCTCCAATGTTTGTGTATTTTTGTTGTATTTTTTATATACACGAACGACGCCATTTTCTTTGTCTTGGATATTGTCTTCTGCCACAAACAGATGGTCACCACAGACTTCCACGTCAGTAAGACCTACTGTATCGAACTGTTCCCAGTATAAAATGGCCGGGTTAGAAACATCCCTGATATCCAGGACGTGTAGAACACCTCCACCTAGATAAACATAGTAACATCTGAATCACACTGTAGGAGGTTAACACTGGTGTCAACGGACAAAACCCCCACTCCAAGTCCGCACGTAACTACAATTCCGTCTTTGCGTATTGCAGAGTTATCTTCTCTTGGGAGCAGGGATTGATTGTGTCGTCATTGGTTTGTGTGAGAAAATTACGTCGTTTTCTCAAAAATTGATGACGTTACTCTCAAAAACAAGGGACGTAACAATCAATACCTGCTCACAAGAGAAGACAACTCTGCAATACGCAAAGACGGAATAACTGAGGAGCATTACATAGACAGAAATATAACATGAGCTTCAAGAAACAGAAATAGGACTACAAAATTGCCCATGGGACATGTGTATTTTGCAACCAAAGAATTTGGGGAATATGATTTAATTTTAATCCTTTCTAATGAGTTTAATTATTAAATGTACCTACACACTTCACTTCAAAAAATGAAGGTATTCCTTTTATGAATTAAATTGCTTGACACATAACTCCTAACTCGGTTTTAGGTACAAAAATAATAACAGGAAAGGATTTTTATTTATCTCTTTCCTTGATCTTGAAGTACAGAACTGCAAATAACAAGAACAGATTAGCCACGTGCTAGTTGTCCGGCCAACAACGTATCAATAAGAGAGAGCCTTATTAATGTTCTTTTTAATTAAATATTATGATATTTATTGTGAAAAGTAATTACAGAGACAATGATGTCAATAATAACAAGCTCACCCAATAAAAACAATATTATTGAGATTCAAGCTAGTAATCCATTGCTCCATGGTTTAATGCAATTTCATCCACTTTCATCCAATTACACGTTGTATGTTTTACATTATTACTTTTTATTGATTTGGGTTGTTATGAGGTTTGGCCTTGTTTTCTTTAGGTAAAACGTTTTTCATTATGATACATTTTCGACCTTCTCTTTTACTTTCGATTATTAATCACAAGCTGTCCTAAACCAACAAGATTTACAAATTTTACAACGTTTTACACGCTATAGTTAGCATTCTTGGTTGTGTATAATTAGTTTAACACAGTAGGAATTGATTAAATCATTTAAATATATTTAACAAAATTGATTAATGGACATTAGAATGGAGACGCATAAAGATATATGGTAGTCTATGGTCAGCACAGGATTGATCATTTGTGAGTTTATACTCCACGGTTACGTGTTGCTCTCAATCATCGTTACCAGAGATTCGTGAATTAATAACACTTCAGTTGAAGTGGAGGTTTATGTGGTCTGCTGTGTAGCCAATTGACGGGCGGCGATCAAATTGCTGAACTGTATACAATTGGCTACAGTGACTTGTGTTTCTTATTGGGCATGAATTTCCTGAACAAAACAAACTCATTGTCTCGTCCAGTTATGCGATCATAAATTAAAAAATATTAATTGTATCACAATTGTGTATGTTGTTTCTGTACAATCAGTCTTTAAAAATAATATGACTTGTTCCTCAGTTGTGTGTGTTGTTTCTGTATAAGCAGTGTGTAATAATGATATTTACTGTATCACAGTAAATATCATTATTACACACTGTTTATACAGAAACAACACACACAACTGTATCACAGTTGTGTGTGTTGTTTCTGTACAATCAGTCTTTAAAAATAATATAACTTGTTCCACAGTTGTGTGTGTTGTTTCTGTATACGCAGTCTGTAATAATGATATTAACTGTATCACAAGTGTGTGTTGTTTCTGTATAAGCAGTCTCTAATAAAGATATTAACTGTATCACAGTTTTGTGTGTTGTTTCTGTGCAAGCAGTCTGTAATAATGATATTAAATGTATCACAGTTGTGTGTGTTGTTTCTGTGCAAGCAGTCTGTAATAATGATATTAACTGTATCACAAGTGTGTGTTGTTTCTGTATAAGCAGTCTGTAATAATGATATTAACTGTATGACAGTTGTGTGTGTTTTTTCTGTACAAGCAGTATGTGATAAGGATATTAACTGTATCACAGTTGTGTGTGTTGTTTCTGTATAAGCAGTGTGTAATAATGATATTTACTGTATCACAGTTGTGTGTGTTGTTTCTGTACAAGCAGTCTGTAATAAGGATATTAACTGTATCACAGTTGTGTGTGTTGTTTCTATATAAGCAGTCTGTAATAAGGATATTAACTGTATCGCAGTTATGTGTGTTGTTTCTGTATAAGTAGTCTGTAATAATGATATTAAGTGTATCACAGTTGTGTGTGTTGTTTCTGTACAAGCAGTCTGTAATAATGCTATCAACTGTATCACAGTTGTGTGTGTTGTTTCTATATAAGCAGTCTGTAATAAGGATATTGACAGTATCACAGTTGTGTGTGTTGTTTCGGTATAAGCAGTCTGTAATAATGATATTAACTGTATCACAAGTGTGTGTTGTTTCTGTATAAGCAGTATGTAATAATGATATTAACTGTATCACAGTTGTGCGTGTTGTTTCTGTATAAGCAGTCTGTAATACTGATATTAACTGTATCACAGTTGTGCGTGTTGTTTCTGTATAAGCAGTCTGTAATAATGATATTAACTGTATCACAAGTGTGTGTTATTTCTGTACAAGCAGTCTGTAATAATGATATCAACTGTATCACAGTTGTGTGTGTTGTTTCTGTATAAGCAGTCTGTAATAAGGATATTAACTGTATCACAGTTATGTGTGTTGTTTCTGTATAAGCAGTCTGTAATAATGATATTAACTGTATCACAGTTATGTGTGTTGTTTCTGTATGAGCAGTCTGTAATAATGATATTAACTGTATCACAGTTGTGTGTGTTTTTTCTGTACAAGCAGTCTGTAATAAGGATATTAACTGTATCACAGTTGTGTGTGTTGTTTCTGTATAAGCAGTCTGTAATAGGGATATTAACAGTATCACAGTTATGTGTGTTGTTTCTGTATAAGCAGTCTGTAATAATGATATTAACAGTATCACAGTTGTGTGTGTTGTTTCTGTACAAGCAGTACGTGATAAGGATATTAACTGTATCACAGTTTTGTGTGTTGTTTCTGTGCAAGCAGTCTGTAATAATGATATTAACTGTATCACAAGTGTGTGTTATTTCTGTACAAGCAGTCTGTAATAATGATATCAACTGTATCACAGTTGTGTGTGTTGTTTCTGTATAAGCAGTGTGTAATAATGATATTAACAGTATCACAGTTGTGTGTGTTGTTTCTGTATAAGCAGTGTGTAATAATGATATTAACAGTATCACAGTTGTATGTGTTGTTTCTGTATAAGCAGTCGGTAATAATGATATTAACAGTATCACAGTTGTATGTGTTGTTTCTGTATAAGCAGTCTGTAATAAGAATATTAACTGTATCACAGTTTTGTGTGTTGTTTCTGTATAAGCAGTCTGTAATAAGGATATTAACAGTATCACAGTTGTGTGTGTTGTTTCTGTACAAGCCGTCTGTAATAAGGATATTAACTGTATCACTGCATCGCAGTTGTGTGTGTTGTTTCTGTACAAGACGTTTGTCATAAGGATATTAACTGTATCACAGTTGTGTGTGTTGTTTCTGTACAAGCCGTCTGTAATAAGGATATTAACTGTATCACTGCATCGCAGTTGTGTGTGTTGTTTCTGTACAAGACGTTTGTCATAAGGATATTAACTGTATCACAGTTGTGTGTGTTGTTTCTGTACAAGCCGTCTGTAATAAGGATATTAACTGTATCACTGCATCGCAGTTGTGTGTGTTGTTTCTGTACAAGACGTTTGTCATAAGGATATTAACTGTATCACAGTTGTGTGTGTTGTTTCTGTATAAGCGTAATAATGATATTAAGTGTATCACAGTTGTGTGTGTTGTTTCTGTACAAGCAGTCTGTAATAAGGATATAAACAGTATCACAGTTGTGTGTGTTGTTTCTGTATAAGCGTAATAATGATATTAAGTGTATCACAGTTGTGTGTGTTGTTTCTGTATAAGCGTAATAATGATATTAAGTGTATCACAGTTGTGTGTGTTGTTTCTGTACAAGCAGTCTGTAATCAGGATATTAACTGTATCACAGTTGTGTGTGTTGTTTCTGTATAAGCAGTGTGTAATAATGATATTAACAGTATCACAGTTGTGTGTGTTGTTTCTGTATAAGCAATCTGTAATAAGGATATAAACTGTATCGCAGTTGTGTGTGTTGTTTCTGTATAAGCAGTCTGTAATAATGATATTAACTGTATCGCAGTTGTGTGTGTTGTTTCTGTATAAGCAGACTGTAATAAGGATATTAACTGTATCGCAGTTGTGTGTGTTGTCTCTGTACAAGCAGTCTGTAATAAGGATATTAACTGTATCACAGTTGTGTGTGTTGTTTCTGTACAAGCAGTCTGTAATAATGATATTTCTGTATAAGCAGTCTGTAATAATGATATTAACTGTATCACAGTTGTGTGTGTTGTTTCTGTATAAGCAGTCTGTAATGATGATATTAACTGTATCGCAGTTGTGTGTGTTGTTTCTGTATAAGCAGTCTGTAATAAGGATATTAACTGTATCACAAGTGTGTGTTGTTTCTGTATAAGCAGTCTATAATAAGGATATTAACAGTATCACATGTGTGTTGTTTCTGTACAAGCAGTCTGTAATTATGACCAAAACTACAAGTCTGTATGTTTATATACAAGCAGTCTGTAATAATGACATTTACAAGTCTGTGTATTTATATACAGACATTAAATCTAGAGCAGGAAGCACTCTAACTTGCTCCGGATTTCCACGTGATAACAGCCTATGTCCTATGCATATGTCGTTAAATATGAGCACAGATTTAACATAGTAATGGAATTCTGTGGTGTTGTGTTACTTATATGTATACCTGAGTCAAAGCGACAGATCCGGGATGATCAGACAGGCTGATAGTGATGTACCCTTTTCACGTTTCTACGACTGCTCATAAACGCCCTGCCGAACACCTGAGAAACTCATTTTATCAACGGGTTTCTTGAAATTATGTTGTTAATAACTACAGAAGCATTTGGATTTTGTCCAGTGTGCGACACTTTTTGCTCTTGTCAGATTGATTTGCTTTCTGCAAATCTTGACAATGCAGTTTTGGATTATGGACACCTTAACATTTTTCAAATTTTTTCAATAATGATTAACTTTCCATTTGATAATGGAATATGCCTCATTGAATACATGCCGCCTTTATATGACCTTAAATAGGAGGATATATGAAAAAATACGCAACTAGCTAATATCAAGTATGGGCTATAGAAAAACAATTAAAGGTGATATGTGGAGTGTACAGACCAACCACGTTCCACATGAAAGTCCAGCATTATTAAACAGAACGTTAATCTCTAATCTAAAGCTACAAAAAAATCCAAAGGTGTTTAAGGGGCAACACAATTGTTGACAATATCCAACACCTTTGTCCTAAAACTCTCTGGCAAAATTGAGTAAGATGTATATTAAAAAGGTGGGTATGGGCCACGTATAGTTCACTATATACATGCATAGCATAAAATTGAATAAGTTTGGTATTTTTAAAACGATACAGCCCGGGTGTTCCGCAAAATATGTTTGAGTAGTTATTGAATATATTTCTGGAGCACCTGACGAACTTATCATTCTATATGTATTGAAGGTTCTATCATAAATTTTATTGCATTTTAGTGTACTCATTTCACCCCGCATTCTTCCGTTATTATAAGAAATCGTTGACGTGATACTACAATACAGGATCGAGGTTAAACGTGAATTTACGTGAAATCAAATAAAAATGGGAGATAGAAGTAAGGCAAGGTGTGAGTAACAAATGTTATTAATAAGTAACCATTGTGCTTGTTATGTACGACCAAATTAATTTCCTTGATGTGGTCACTACTGGAATCGCACTTCATATCAAGGACGAACATTGAATAGTTGGTTCTATATTTCTTCATTGACGAACGAACCAATGCTTTTATATGTCCAGAAATTGACATCGACTCCACAAATACAATCACACTATATCATACTTGCAATGCATGATAATATTATCTCGAGAAATGTTTTACGTATAAGATAGTGCGTGTGTCGCGGGAGATATGTCTGTTGAAATATAAGTACTTACCAACAGTATAGACGGTTTTCTGGGCGGGATCGTAAGCTGTCTGTTCTGCAGCGCCAGAGGGATATCTGAACTGTCCTTCTTCATTCTCATACCTGTAAGGCAGGTACACAGTGGACAGCTTCTCCAGATGTATCTTGTCTGTGTCCACAGGTGTTGATACGGTGATCCCAATTAATAAAGTCAATACAAAACGTATGTATGTAACATCACAGGTAATCATTGTGACATGAAGATTTTGATGCCGTCTCGTGCTGGTCAGAATGAGACGTCTTATTACTGCCTTTTATACACCATATACTTTTACCTTATCATATGATGTCATCCATTGGTCAATTTTTCATGACGAGTTCCTCCCCTTGATCCACTGACCATACGCCGTTGCAGGATATAAATATCCACTAAATTGTCCTATCATAGAGTTCCTTACGAGCCGACATCATCATCAACATTTCATCATTTCTGTGTTGGGTGTTGAAAAGTGGAACGATTATAAGTACCGCATGGTCGAATCACCACGTAATACAACACTGGATATTTACGTACGTCATACTTGGTACACTCTGACAGTTTGTCATGCGTGTGGTCAACATGTCAGTGTGTCAGGTCGCGTGTAGCGTGATAGGCACGGGGACAACGGAACTCAAAATTATATAATCTGTACGTCCTGGCTCCAGTACTTTGATGTTTATCACGTACTTTTAAAATGTTTCTAGAACGCATATTAGGAATTCTTCTTTTTTAAGTGGGATTAAAATATATACGTACATTATCTAAATCTTTACCATAGTGGTGGAATTTCATGTGTAAAAATATGTTCATATTTATATAAACAGCATGAAGCTCGCATGATAATTGGGTGTATGCACCCCTAACTTTTAAACGTTTAGCGTAATATTTGTTTCAGAACCATTTTTACATGGGTTTTAACATGTTAATCTCTTTTGCGAGCCAAATGAGTGCTAATAAATAACATATACTTTAAAGCTTATTCATGGGCCTCTTGTTTTATTTTATTTCAACACCTTTGACTTACAATGGTATACAATGATTTGTAACATACACAAGATTTAATGTATAAGCATGCGTGGTTGTACAGAGGGATACAAGTATTATAGTAATAGAAGTGTACTGCAATTGCATATAATACATGTAGTAACTAATGAAATTCTATGTTAAGTTTCCGAACAGATTTAAATCATGGCCTATCATTTGCTGAGTCATTTCAGGCTATAACAATTTCTGTTCTGATTTATAGACCACAATAAAAGACGTTTAATTGAATATTTTAATCGTATTCTTGAAGATTGGAACAAATGCCAACATCTTCCGCAAAATGTCTGCTGCAGTTTGGCTTCTGATGAGTCGAAATTTATGCATTGTCGAATATACCTATGTAAAAGTGTACAAGGTCACTACGAAAACACTAATGCGGTCTGCGTTGATTTTTTTTATTTGACAAAATGTCCGTGTTAGGTCAGGTCCTGATTGGTCGACATTTAGATATTGACCGATGTTATAGATTGGGTATATAGATTAGTATGTAGGGTTGTCATTGGTTAGCCGGTTAACCGGTTGCTCGGTTGAAATACCACGAACTGACAACCAAAATCCTTAACCGAAAAGTCGGACATTTACTTACCCCTTTTGGGAGCCCTATGTATCCCTGGTTTAGACCTACAAACTATCTGCATTTGTATAGATGCGACCAAAATTGGATAGTTTTGTAATAAAAACAGTGTTCAGGAATTACATGTCAGTGTTAATTTTGTATTCTAATTTAAACACTGAAAAGAGATGACGCCAACACCATAAAAAATCAGGACAGTTTTTGAAAGGAAGCCAGAATACAAAGCTGAGAAATATCAACTTTCTGAGATAGAACGTGCCTTGCATGCGAAATGAAATATAATCTGAAGAGTACACACATGAATGAGCAAGCATGTCTTAAAACGTCTGTCAAGCTAATTTTGTTCTAAAGAATGATATTACTACATATGATTTCGAGAACAGATAACTGTAATTGAATCTGTCTTACTGCATTCCGACATTCGTTGTTCATAAAATATACTTACTGAGGTTACATGCAACTATTTCCAGTGTTAACCTTGACATAAACGGGTAAACTATCATGCTAATTAATATATACATGTATGTTTGTGGTGTAAGTACGTTTTAGATAGAATATTTTCCAAACATATAATGCATTGTTGCTGTTTATTGTTTGACTACCAAATTGACCGATTAACCGGTTACTCGATCGGTAGAAGTGTAATCGGTTACAAAAATATGACCGGTTTGACAAGCCTAGTATTATGGCATTGCGATCATTTTCTGATGCATCACTTGCGACTACTAGGTTAGTTTCGGCACCTTATGGTGTAACGGTCCCTGTTACGATTAGATATTGTTATACTTCATAATAAAAAAAGAAATGTATGTACCCTTCCAGAGCAATGATTTCACATCTGCTTTAGTAGGTTCATGTTGTATAAAAAAAGGCGTGTCTTTTGTTCCTTTGGCCAAAGAAAGATATCCTTTGTTAGATATGTATGGAACGCCATAGCTGTCACATATGGCATAAAAATGATTTGTAACATACACAAGATTTAATGTATAAGCATGCGTGGTTGTACAGAGGGATACAAGTATTATAGTAATAGAAGTGTACTGCAATTACATATAATACATGTAGTAACTAATGAAATTCTATGTTAAGTTTCCGAACAGATTTAAATCATGGCCTATCATTTGCTGAGTCATTTCAGGCTATAACAATTTCTGTTCTGATTTATAGACCACAATAAAAGACGTTTAATTGAATATTTTAATCGTATTCTTGAAGATTGGAACAAATGCCAACATCTTCCGCAAAATGTCTGCTGCAGTTTGGCTTCTGATGAGTCGAAATTTATGCATTGTCGAATATACCTATGTAAAAGTGTACAAGGTCACTACGAAAACACTAATGCGGTCTGCGTTGATTTTTTTTATTTGACAAAATGTCCGTGTTAGGTCAGGTCCTGATTGGTCGACATTTAGATATTGACCGATGTTATAGATTGGGTATATAGATTAGTATGTAGGGTTGTCATTGGTTAGCCGGTTAACCGGTTGCTCGGTTGAAATACCACGAACTGACAACCAAAATCCTTAACCGAAAAGTCGGACATTTACTTACCCCTTTTGGGAGCCCTATGTATCCCTGGTTTAGACCTACAAACTATCTGCATTTGTATAGATGCGACCAAAATTGGATAGTTTTGTAATAAAAACAGTGTTCAGGAATTACATGTCAGTGTTAATTTTGTATTCTAATTTAAACACTGAAAAGAGATGACGCCAACACCATAAAAAATCAGGACAGTTTTTGAAAGGAAGCCAGAATACAAAGCTGAGAAATATCAACTTTCTGAGATAGAACGTGCCTTGCATGCGAAATGAAATATAATCTGAAGAGTACACACATGAATGAGCAAGCATGTCTTAAAACGTCTGTCAAGCTAATTTTGTTCTAAAGAATGATATTACTACATATGATTTCGAGAACAGATAACTGTAATTGAATCTGTCTTACTGCATTCCGACATTCGTTGTTCATAAAATATACTTACTGAGGTTACATGCAATTATTTCCAGTGTTAACCTTGACATACACGGGTAAACTATCATGCTAATTAATATATACATGTATGCTTGTGGTGTAAATACGTTTTAGATAGAATATTTTCCAAACATATAATGCATTGTTGCTGTTTATTGTTTGACTACCAAATTGACCGATTAACCGGTTACTCGATCGGTAGAAGAGTAATCGGTTACAAAAATATGACCGGTTTGACAAGCCTAGTATTATGGCATTGCGATCATTTTCTGATGCATCACTTGCGACTACTAGGTTAGTTTCGGCACCTTATGGTGTAACGGTCCCTGTTACGATTAGATATTGTTATACTTCATAATAAAAAAAGAAATGTATGTACCCTTCCAGAGCAATGATTTCACATCTGCTTTAGTAGGTTCATGTTGTATAAAAAAGGGTGTGTCTTTTGTTCCTTTGGCCAAAGAAAGATATCCTTTGTTAGATATGTATGGAACGCCATAGCTGTCACATATGGCATAAAAATACTATATGAATTGATATTTTCATTATATGATTTTATCATTATATTATTCGATTTTATCATTATATTATTTGATATCATCATTATATTATTTGATTTCATCATTATGTGATTTGATTTTATCATTATATTATATGATGTCATTATTATATTATTCGATGTCATCATTATATTATTAGATTTTATCATTATATTATTTCATATCATCATTATATTATTTGATTTCATCATTATGTGATTTGATTTTATCATTATATTATATGATGTCATCATTATATTATTCGATTTTATCATTATATTATTTTATATCATCATTATATTATTTGATTTCATCATTATGTGATTTGATTTTATCATTATATTATATGATGTCATCATTATATTATTCGATTTTATCATTATATTATTTTATATCATCAATATATTATTTGATTTCATCATTATGTGATTTGATTTTATCATTATATGATTTGGTTTCCATTGTATTGTAACATTTCATCATTATATTATTTGATTTTATCATTATATGATTTGATATTATCGTTATATGATTTGGTTTCACCATTATATTATACGCTGTTGTCGTGATATGATTTGGTTGTATCGTTATATTATTCGATTTCATCAATATATGATTGAACTTTATCGTTATATTATTTAGTTTCAACATCATAGTATATGCTTTCGTCATTATATGATTTAGTGTAACCGTTATATTATTCGATATTTTATCATTATACCATTCCGTCAATCTGATTAAAATCATCTGTTCAGGCGTAGTACGAAATTAACGAAGCCATGTAACATGTGATTTTAATCAGATATCATATTATTCACAAACATCATGATGATTGCACAACTTCATTATATTATTGTACAACTTCATTATACGTTGGATACGATTCTGACAAGCATCTCCGTGAATCCGAAGTAAACGGAACTTTTCGCCGGGGCCTTTTTCTGCCATGTTACTACCGCCATTTCTGACGAAAAGTGCAAACGAAGCTGTGCATAGTCTTTTGTAAGTATAGAGATATCAATGATGAGGGAAACTGGTAGTGGCCGATTGAGACACATGACCGTGAATGTTCTCAAAACGGCAATAGACTTGTTCAAATTAGAGAAAGCTGATTTCCTTGCCACGGTATGATATATTTGCTTGGACGATCTTCCCTTTACGTCGATTATAAAAGGGCCTAGGGCTAACTTATGTTCTCATCATCTCGGTTTTGTATTCTTATACAATGTAGCTACGACCACTGCAGACCATGAAACGATGGAAATGACATTTCAAAGCTATCTGCCTTTCATAAACTCTTGAATATGTTTTCATAATATAACTAAATCAATCCTACAAGTACTTAGTCTACACCAGCTTAATATAATGTTATTTTTTCTTGATAACCTATTTAATATCGAAAAAAGAGATGGAAACAGTTCTCATG